GAAGAGGCAACAAGAATTGTATTCGAATGGAAACTATTGTATCCGAAGAACAATTGAAAAAAAGAATCATTCAAAATATACAACAAAGACAGCAAAAGTCGGTGGTAGGGGTTTATTTGGTTGACACTACAGCAAAAGCAGAATTAAAATATTGATAGAAATCGATGCAAAAGATGCAAAAATACATGGTGCGATGGATAAATTGTCGTCTAAATTACGCAAAAACGAAAATAACATTGACATTTCATTTGAACAGATATATTTACCAAAATTACACAAAAATGTCTTGAAATACTAAAAAGTAAAATCGTCATTGGCTTCAACTGCGGCGTCCACAGGACTTTGGAATCTCCTGCAACTCTTTTGGATAGTCTCCTTTTTTTAAGTTATTGAATGCTCCCATACTCCTTGCCTTCAGTTCATCTTTGATGTTAAAATGAGTTTTGTTGGGCTTTCGTTCAACTGTGCCACACACAATAATCAAGGGTGTTGCAGTCTGGAGAGTTAGGTGGCCAGATGTAAAAGATGAAGTGGTCGCAGAAATTGTGTGACAGCCATGACTGGATTCTCCTATTTGTATGGCATGGTACAGAGTCTGTTGCTAGACATAGGTTCTTCTACCAGAGTCGTACTATCTACTCAAGGCACTTTAGTCTGAGGTCCTCACCAAAAAACTTTGAGAGTTCTTTTCTTATCAGAACGGTCACAGTGACTTTTTCTGAGCTTCCGTAACTTCGTAATCCCTATTATACTCATTCAACTCTTTCCGAATCCTCTGCACTGTCCACAGATTGACACTCAAACACTCTGGAGTGTTCGTATTGGAGCTTCCAGTGCGAATACTAAACAGTACTGCATGCTGTTTCCAAATTTCTGGCAGAGGAAATTACGTCATGATACTCTTTTTCTTACAGAACTTTTCTCAGCTGAACTTACTATCCTGTGCAGTCGACAAAATCAAAAACAAACACAACGCAAGCGCGAAATTTAAAATATAATATGACGACAATTTACCCATCGCACCCTGTATGCAGATTACATTGCTAAAGTTCTACCTATTACCAGATATAGAAGAAGATGAAATATTCCTACATGATAGATAACTTTTCCATACATTGCATATGACAGTTTTTTTTCAGCGTTCTATACAGTGAAGTACTAAAAGCTTGTGGAAAGAGTTAAAACATCCGGTGTATTACAGAATGCTAAAGGACTTGTCAAGAGAGATGACAGAACATTCCTGATGTAATAAATTCTAAGTTGTTTACATTATTCACATTGTTCGGACTGTTGCCCTCATCTCTATTGCCATATTCACAACGTTTCTGCCGTTGTACACTCCGGCCTTCTTCAGGTGAGTAGAATTTTGAACTGAACCCTTTCTTTCGCTCACCGGTGTAGAGTGTCCTAGTTTCACGTGCCATGCCACTTCCGAATGTATAAGTTATCTCTTTTTAACTCAATTCTCCAATGTTTAAATCTACCTAAATATATAAAGAAATTACTTTGGTGCAATATTAATTTTTATTCCATCAATAAAAGCAGTTGATTCTATTTCTCCTCTTGTTGATTATAAGTTTTGTATGACCATTTTCAGTATCGTAATACGTTCAGGTTTGTATCTCTCCACGTAGTGGGTCCATATGAATGCTACAACATACATTACAGTCATGAATCAACACAGATGCTACTTTTTAAATATTTTTTTTAATTTTTAAAACGTCTTAGTCAAAATTCAAACATATCGATTACTAGCAGTAGAGCCCGGCGTTGCCCGGAGATGTAACAGTAAGAGATAGATCAAGTATCGACCATCATAAAGACTGAAAAATAAAATTGACAAAGATTATTGTTTAAGGTTGACGGACACGCATGTCTTAATTAGATTTTTTTTTTTTTTTACGAATTGGTCAAACCCAAACTCAAATAAAAACATTGTTTTCAATCGTTATGAGTCTACCGATTGAATAGAATTTTATTATAAAAAATTGTTTGTAAATGGAATTTTTAAAGCATTCTGAATGTAAAAATAAAGAAAAAAAGTGTGCAAGACAATAAGAAACACTACCTGCCAAAAAAAAGTGAAGTTTTGTTGAAATCGGTTGAAAAATGTAGGAAATCCGATCCCATATATAAACGAACACACACACACACAAACAACATGGGTTTTATAATAAGTATAACTCAATATGAGTTGTCCCCATTTCATTCTGGCGACTTAATCGTGTTTTCAAATTGATTTCGTGCAAAAACAATTGTGTTTTTCCAATTTTGGGCGCTGTCAGAACCACCGCCGGGTAATTTTACGTAGTCCTGTGAAGTTTTGTTGAAATCGGTTGAAAATGTAAGAAATCCGATCTAATATATAAACGAACAGACACACACACACAACCTGGGTTTTATAATAAGTATGATTTTGGTTAGATGACTCATTTCTTTTGCTCACAACTGTATTCTGTGATTCTAGACAACTACCTACACCTCGAGGCAATATTCTCAACTCATAAACAAAAGGAATAAGAAGTATTTGACATATGTGGTTCTATTTAGAGTAAGACATCAATTTAATGAACTGGGGGATAGTGTGTTCATTGGTTTCAATATAATGGCTGCTACTCAGTAAATATCCTAGTCCTAGTTAGTCACAATTACGACCCATTCATTCAATACAATGAACTCAATCACCACAAGAACTTGTCCATTACCTCTCAATCCTACATGTACCATAATACAACATATTTACAAGAGACCTACAAAACAACCCATGATGTAAAAATATAAGCAGTCCATAATGTCTAATGACTGCTAAAAACATTTCCTTCACAAATTTATAGATAAATCTTACAGATGGGATTTCTTCCTAATCAATGAAAATAGACTACTTTACGGTCTCCTCCACCATATTTTTGTTTCTGTCTTGTCTTAAAATCAAAATTAAGAACTCTTTTGCCTAGTTTTGACTTGCATATATATTGTTTGCTTAATATAATTTTGCCCGAGCCCACGGGCTCGGTTTTGACCCCGCATTAAAAACGGTCTTGTGTCACATCCTGTCTCGCGGAGAGGTAAGGTAAATAACCTTCCTTCGGCAATTAGCTGGAGAATCGTCTCCAGCTTCGCTGTTCGAACTCTATGTCTTCGGGCAGAGTGGAACCCAGCCGTGTCTATGCGAAAGGGCAGAGTCTCGTCTGAGGTGGTTGACATCTACCCGATTCCGTGTATACGGGCTCTACGGGAATTTTTTGGCCCCGCATTAAGAAACGGTCTTGTGCCACATCCTGCCTCCCGGGAAGGTAAGGTAAATAACCTTACTTCAGCAATTAGTTAGAGATTCGTCTCCAGCTGTTCTGGTCAAGGCTATGTCGACGGGGAGAGCCTCTTCTTGAGAAACAGATACTCGACTTCTTTTCATACGGGGAATTTTTGGCCGAGCCTCCGAGCCCGGATATCCCACCTTAAATTCGGCCTTCTGCCACATCCAACCGGATGGGCCGGTTGGTAGATGTCCTTGCTTCGGGAATTACTAGCCTCACACCCGATTTCACTAGTGCATTCTCTTTTAAATTAGACCTCTCTTCTTCCATCTATGCGCGTGTTGCTGTTCCTTCACTCGAGTACCACCATTGTCTGTTTGTAACCTCTTTAAGTATACAGCATAAATGTCTTAATTTCAGAGAAGTGTTCGGCAAATGAATGAAAAAGTGGTAAAGATCTGTTTAATGCGTTTCGTTTTCTAGATGGACTTCATCGGTATTATAATTTCATCGACAAAAATATTATTTTAGTCGGATGAAGTCCTTCAAGCGGACGAAACACGTTGCACAGAATTTTTTTTCACTTTCTCGTTTAACATTCTAAAACCTTTTGGAAATACACAAAAGAAAAATGAAGACGTGAAGATTTTAATCTAAAACAAAAAGATATTGACTTTGCTAATCCAATAAAAATGACTATGGGAAAACCATATGAAGGAACATTATAGACAGTAAAGTGGATACAGCGATAAAATCGAGAAAAATATTTCATAAATAAATCTCAGGAGAAAGCATTGGCCAAGACAAGTCACATTGATGACCCACTTTACAGTGTAAAAAGAAAGGTAATTTGCTTTTGTTTTCTCTTCATGTCAAGTAATTTGAACATGTCAGCTGACATTTGCAAGCCTTCCTTAAATATCAACAAACCAAAATAGAAATCAAAAAGAAGAATTATCTTTAACTAAAATCGTTACATCGAGCTCCAGAGAGACAAAGATATTATCTGGACATTGTCAGCCGAGAAAAACTAAACTGCCATCTTGCTTTTCTTCGTTCTAGCTCAGAGCAACATTTTTATTTTATCAGGTCATCACTCCTATTGTCTTGTCATAAGACCTGATGAGAAATACATCTTTTCTGTGTTGAACTATCGATCGAAAACGAGGCTAACAAAAATAGTGACGTTATAAGTGCGCAGGTTGAAGAAAAGTTTAAACATTAAATTGTCACTTTATGAAGAAAGGAATAAAAGTTTTGAATTTGAGCAACGTCTTCTTGAACAGTTTTTTGTATGTTTTCTTTTTCTTTCTTTTTTTTTTTTTGGTTTTTGTTTTTCTGTCTTGAATAATTCCGACTCCACAGCAATTAAATAAATAAAATGGAACGGAAGTGTCTTAAATGATATAATAGAAAAATAAATAAATTGTCTTAGAAGAAATAATTCTCATCTTAGTTTCATGAATTGGGAAACTAAAGAATTTCATATGTGCTAATCCAATTCTAAATATCTTATTCGTTTTATTTCCATTCATTTTAAATTTCTGGTGACCTTTTCTTTGGGAATTTTCTGCAGAAATCATCTCTTTCTTGACATTCCACTTTCCTTCATAATGCCGTCTGAGATTCTTATTAAAATGATTAACCTTGGCCGTATAAATTTAATAAAGTATATTTGAGATAGATAGATAGATACATACATACATACATAGAATAAGCGAGAGATTAAGAACACAAAGAACTAACAAGAGATAAGAAGAGATAGATAGATAGATAGATAGATAGATAGATAGATAGATAGATAGATAGATAGATAGATAATGAATAGACTGCGATAGATAGATAGATACATACATACATACATACATACATACATACATACATACATAGAATAAGCGAGAGAAAAAAAAATGAAAGAGCTAACAAGAGATAAGAAGAGAATGAGATAGATAGATAGATAGATAGATAGATAGATAGATAGATAGATAGAATAAGCGAGAGATAAAGAACTGAAAGAGCTAACAAGAGATAAAAAGAGAATGAGACAGATAGATAGATAGATAGATAGATAGATAGATAGATAGATAGATAGATGGATTTTAGAAGCTTTAGATATTTTAATGTTTTCGGATTTTGGTGTCATATTTCTATCGTGTGTGAGAACATTCTCTCCAGTTGCTTTCTCCAAATCTATATGTCTCTCTTGCCTTTTCTTTGTCCTACCTGATTCTCTTTTCTCCCCCACTATCTAATCTTTCTCTCTCTCTCTCTCACGCGCGCGCAATTACTTCTCCTCTCCCACGCCTTGCCTCATTCCCCATCTCTAACTCACTACTCATTATCTCATTTACCTCTCTCTCTCTCTCTCTCTCTCTCTCTCTTTCTTACCCTTTTACTCCCCATCTATCTGAAAAGATCCTTTTCTCCCTTAGGTCGTCTCTTTTGATCACCATCTCCCTCTGTATTCCTTTCGTTTTCTCTCTCTATCTCTTTTCTCTCTTTCCCCTTTTCCATTCCTCATTTGCACCACCGATAATGGAAACGATTCCTACAGCTTCCGATCTCTTTGTTTCCCTCCCCCCCTCTCTCTCTCTCTCTCTCACACACACACACATTCTATTCTCTCTCCTATCCGCACTCTTTCCATTCTATATCCTTTTCATTCTCTCCTTCCTACTCTCTCTGTCTCTCTTGCATTCCACATCTCTCTTCCTATTCCAATCTCTGTCTTATTCCCCTCTCTTGTTCACAATTCTCTCCTCCTTTTTTTCTCTTGTTTTTTTCATCTTCCTCTCGATTCATTTCTTTCTCTCACTCTGTCTATTCTCTGCTCTCTCACCCATTCGTTGTTTCATTCCGTTTATATCCTCAATTTCTCTCTACCCCTCTCTTTCTCTTCCTTCCTAAGATCTCTCTCTCTCTCTCTCGCACTCTGCATCTCTCTTTCTCTCCCACTCTCTGTCTTATTCCCTATCGCATTCACCTCTCTCACCTCCCTTGTTCTCTTACTCTTTTTTTCTCTTTTTTATTCCCCTCTCTCCCTCTCTACTATCTGCTCTCCTCCCATTTCATATCCCTCTCTCATCTTTTCTGTCTTATTTCATCTCTCTCCTCTATTTCCCTCTACGCATCTCTTTCTCTCCTCCCCACTCTCTCTCTCTCTCTCTCTCTCTCTCTCTTTCGCGCGCGCGCGCACTCGGAATCTCTCTTCCTCTCCCACTATCTATCTTATCTATCTCATTCACCCATCTCCCTTCCCTTTCCCTCTTACACTCCATCTATCTCTCTCTGTTCTTTCCTCTCTCTCTCTCTCTCTCTCTCTCTCTCTCCTCCTTTCTATACCTCTCATCCTGCACTACATTCATCAATTAAAGCGATTACCGCAGTTTCCGGTCGAAACAGAGTACTTCCTCTATCCCATTAATAAAGATATTTCACAGAGTATATGAAATCTTAATCATTTTCTCCAGAGTCAATTAAGACAGCAAGTCAAAAACCGTTATCCTCTTTGCTTTTTCATATTCTTCAAAGGATCTTGGTTTGGCATGACACAATAATTGTAAAAATGAATTTAATTACGATCGCTTTATGTTTTATCCTGTGCAGTGAAACGATGATTTCCCGGGATTTCTGGCGCCATCTCCACATGGAATCAAACACTGAGAATCGACTTCGACAAATTATGGTAGAAAACCAAAACATTTTCGACTACTATCAAAGGAAGGTTATTCTCCGAACAAATGAGGAACAAATTATCCATATATTTGTCAACATCGGAAACTAGGCCATCATCTGAATTCAAACACCGATCGATAACAGTAACAATATTCTGTCCTTCCTGTCATACACACACACACACACTCATATATATATATATATATATATATTCAAATATGTTTTATTGAATAATGTAGATATATAAGTCTTTATTTTTCTAATAATCATTTCTAGCTTCTTGAGAACTACAAATTTCTTTATAAAATATATGTAATATGTCTATATTATTCAATGAAAATATGCTTCCTAAATACATATTTATTTATTAAGAAAAATATTGTTTTAATGGTTGCTATCCACTAAGAATAACGATTGTAGTAATAAAGTAATGATATAGAATAAAATCCAACACACACACACAGACACATATATATATATATATATATATATATATATATATATATATATATATAAATTAATGAAGGTTCAATCCCTGTCCGAAGACGCATTTTCATGCTACAATTTCTCGTATCACAGGCCGATCAACACACAATGCATTGTTTAATAAGTGAAAATGCGGTGTCTATTTTTCACCGAAGTATCCACTATAATAACGTTTGAAGTAATAAATATATTATTATTATTATTATTGCTGTTGTTATTTTTGCGTTATCTTTCCTGCTTTGTATACGGTAGAGCCGGGTCCAGACTATGGTCCTTAGGCTCTATACGAGAATTGTCATTTAATTGATAGTACTTTTCTTAGAACATGCAATGTTCTTAGTAGGGCGATTTTCTGGGAAACCTCGGACACTGTTAGTAAAACTGACAATTCCTTTTCTCACGAAGCCAAGAGCTCCGAGTACTATTGATACAGTCTCGATCTTCATTCCCAATATTCTGTTAATCTCCAGGTCCTTGTATTTGAACAATTTCTCGATAATTTTTATGGAGGTGTTTCTCTCAGATGATACTGCTATGTCAATAAACATATACTTTCTGAATTTCTTGTCTTTTATGATAATATCAGGTTTGTTGTCTTATTTTCCTGTCAGTTTGAATTGGCATGTCCCAGAGGATAGTTACATCGCTATTTTTGGTAACTGTGTCTGGTTTGTATTCATAGCATCTCTCAGTAGTTTCGATTTTGTGCTTCTTGCATATCTTCCAGTGCACATATGTCGTTACCTTGTTATATCTGTGGGTATATATATATATATTTTTTTTTTTTTGCCAGTTCCGGACATCCTCAGATAATATGGTCGATAGTTTCATTATATTTTCCGAAGGTCCTGCATTTGGGGTCAGATCCATCCTTGATTACGTGACAGTCATAGGAGCTGGTTGCCAGGCTTTTGGTTCTGAGCTGCAATAATTAGGTCTTCTGTTTCAGTTTTCAACCCAGTGCCCCTCAGTCACTGATATGTTTTCTGTTGGTCCACATTTACTTCTTTCTTTCTTTCTTTCTTTCTTTTTTTTCTTCTTCTTCTTCTTCTTCTTATTATTATTATTATTATTATTATTATTATTATTATTAATATAACCTTTTCACTGTTTAAGAAAATAAAAAAAACAGAAATACTAATTTAAACACGTGTACCTAATAAATAACTTTTATCGTAATAAGAAGTAATATCGGATTTAAAAAAAAAACTCCATTAAAAAGACTGTTTATGTTTCGTTTAGTAAACTGAAGCTAGGAGATATAGATTCGTACAAGTCCCGACGAAAGTTGTACATTCCTTAAAAGGGTACTTCAAACTTTAAGTTGTAAGAAAATGAGCTCCCGTGGCCAAACTCGTAGAGGTTTCCCGTATAGATAAAAGAGATACGTGTTTGATTCCACTCGGAAGGTACAGTTCTCCTGTAATAGGATTCTCAATTTAAGCCATTATTATTAATTTCACTGTTTAAGCAAATAAATAAAAACAAAGATAGCAAATAAAACACGTATACCCACTAAAAATAACTTTTATAATAATAAGAAATAATGTCGAAAAAAATATTCAAAAACATATATATACATACATACATATATATATATATATATATATATATATATATATATATATATATATATGTATGTATGTATGTATTATTATATATCGGGATTTAAGTTATGAATAAATCGTCCAAAGTTTGTTTTTACTTGTTAGATCATAGTCATAGATAGTCATAGTCATAGTCATAGTTAGATCATAGTCATAAATCATAGATCATAGATCATTATTTTACTTGTTAGATCATAGTCATTGTAAAAAAAACGGGTGTTATCAGAAATAGGAAAGATATAATAAAATGCTAAATACATAGACCTTATCGGTGGAATTTAATAAAACTTGTTTGTATATATATATATATATATAAATAAAGAAAGAAAGAAAGAAATAGATAGATAGATAGATAGATAGATAGATAGATAGATAGATAGATAGATACGGAAATAAATAAAATTTTGAATTCATAAAAGTTCAAGTTTGACAAACAATAGTGTTTACCTTAATGTTCATCATGGTGAGAGAATCCGATAAATATATTTTTAAGATGTCAGAAAAATTGACCAATATACGAGGGTTGACTGGAAAGTGCATTGGCTGAATATGAAAGAGTGATTCTAGAACTGTGAAATCATGAATGCGTTTATTTCATCACTTCTTATTAATAACGTCATTGTTACTTTCCAGATAAACTGAGTATTCAAAGAATACAGTTCATTCTGTTGGTCAAAAAAGTCAATAACAGCAGATATGACGTCATCATCACTGTAATACTGGTTTCCAGATAAGTGTTTTTCATCTTGGAGAAGAGTTGATAGTCAAATCACGACAATATGGAGGATGATCGTCCAGTTCAAAGGCACAGTCACGGACAGCAGCCATTGAAACCAAGGACTTTTGTCCTGGACCATTGGTCTGGTGAAAAAAGACCTCTTTCGTCAGTTTTCCTGGACGTCTGACTTTTATAGCCTTTCGTAACTGCCTCAGCAAATTGGCACTGTACTCTCCATCACAAACAGCAGAGGCCATCACCTTCCCGGCTGGTGAAACGGCCTTGGCCTTCTTCGGAACAAGTGATGAAGGACGTTTTCATTGCATAGTTTGTCTTTGGCTCAAAGTGAAAAAACACGACATTCATCCTGGGTTAGGAAATGATCAAGGAACTAAGCTGGATCTGTCATATTTTCCCGTGATATGATAAAACTGGTTTGCTCTTGCTCAGGTGTCAAAAGACGTAGCATCCACAGAGCAGAACCCTTCGTCATGCCAAGTTAATTGTTCATTATATTCTCAGATCTCTCACGGGATACATTAATAGCATCGGCTATTGGATTTATAGTCAATCCCTGTCATCCATTACCATGTGGTGAACACGATCAATGTTTCCCTGAGTGATGGCAGTTCCAGGCCCTCCAGACCTTTGGATCAC